AGAAGGAGGATTTCACAAGCACCACGAGCAGAACCTATTCCCTGTCTCTTCCCTGTCTCCGGTCCTTCCCTGTGCCAGGCTGTGGAGCCGGGTGTCCTGGGTGAGCCACTGGGGAGAGCTCCCAGCCACCTCCCTCCAGGAGCTTCCAGCCCAGGACACAGCCCACAGCCCACAGCCCACAAATGTGCTGAGCAGGGAACAGGGAGGGGCCAGCGCCTGGGGCAGGGGGGAGTCCTGCGGGGGCTTTGGGGAGCTTTCCCTTCCTCCCTCAATGCCTGTGACAGGGCTGGGCTCCTCGGGGGTCCCCTGCTAGCCCAGCTCCCCTCTCCTGTCTTCCCAACATTGTGCTTCTCGGCTGTACAGGCCAGAGACGTGGTGGGAGCAACATCTAAAAATAGAGCAGCCGGTTCTGCGCCAGGCCCGAGGGTGCCTCTGGTTAAAATGCATGAGCCTTGATGTAGAAACAGCAATCTTTCTTTTCAACATCATCTGCCTATTGGATGGTTCTGGGCAGTTCTGGGGCAGGAGGGTGCCCGCGAGAGGGGGCAGGAGTGACTGGGGGTGGGGAAGGGGAGGGCAGCGTGTGGCCTTTTGGTGCCCTGCACAGAGGGACACACAGTAGGTGCTTGGAAAATTCTGGAGATTCTTTCACTCGAGGTTCAAGGATGCTGCAGCGCAGTGGAAGGCAGCAAGTCTCAGGGGAAATGGTGCTGCAGATCAACCAGGTTCTTCCCAAGTTCAGGAAAGAGCAGTGGGAAGGGGAAGGGGAAGGGGGGGGGGGGACGCTGCGAACCCTCCAGAGGAATGGGCAGTGAGAAGGAAGGGGGAGCCTTTATTTCCAGGGGACGGGAGAGGCTTCCCTCGCCATCGATGTCTCCCATTTGGCTCGTTGCATGAGGACAAGTCCTGGAACTGCCCCGGAGACCAGGCAGATTCGGGAGGAAAAGGGCCGGTTCCCAGTGAGGCGGCTGCTGATTCGGTGCAACCAAAGGCTCGCAGACACAGATCCAAACGCGGACCTCCGTGGGCAGGAAGGAGTGTGTTATCAAAAATTAAAACTAAAAAAAACAAAAGGCGGGGGAAAAAGTGTACCGAGAAGTCGGGAAAGAATATTGCCTTTTTAATAATAAATACATTCCGTGGGCAAGAATTGCAAGGGAATCGTTTAAATTAATTTCCGCTGTGTTTGTTTGGTGTGTACGGGGCGTACGTCCCAGCTGACAGCGATCTGTGGAAGTGCTAACATATTGGAAATCTGATTTCTTGCAGCCAGAATCCCGTAGTCTAAAGTGATTTCTCTTTCAGCCCTGCTAACCAGACAGGCAGGGCTCAGGCGGCTCCTCGGGGATCAGCTCCCGCCTGGGGCTTTGGGGTGTAAAGGTGTCTGGTGGGGGCTCAGCAGACCTGGTGTGGGGTGGAGGGACGAGAGTGAGGCGAAGATGAGCAGTGGGAGGGAGGGCAGCGCTTGCCATCCTTCCCCAGGCGCTGCAGGCGCTGCCTTCTCTTCTGCACCCCCCATCTGGACCATGTGTCAGGGGAACCCCCACCATGATGGGAGGGGAGCATTCCAGTTGGAACTGGAGGCTGAAGGTGAAGGCAGAATCCCCTCCCACTCCCACTCTCGGTTCGGTGGTGAGAGGGCCTTGGCTGATGTCCTTCCCCACCCCTCTCCAACCTCTGCCAGCGAGCCAGCCCCACGGTGCCCAGTGCCGTGTGCCATGTGCGGGCATCGCCCCTCAGCACAGCGTGTCAGCATCGTTGTTTCAGCAATCACTCCACCCCCTGGGTCTGTGTCCCTCCTCACAGCCACCGCACACACCGCCCCTGAACTTGAGTTCCCACCCACCTTATTCCTATATCCCACCTTATATCCAACCTGGCTATGGCTGTTTCCTAAAACCAAATCCATCTGCAAAAGATGCTGGTTTATGCTTAGAACAAACGAATCTGTGAATAAGCAAACTGTAAGTCAGAGCCAGAAAGCAGGGGTGTGACAGGGGCCTCTCGGGTCTGGAGGTGAGACCTCAGGATGCGGCCTCCCTGCCCCACACCCCTGGGGCTCCTACCAGCCAGGGCAGCCCCGTCCGGTCTGACGCTCCTTGGCCAGAAAAGGTGTGGAGTGTGTGTGTATTTGAATCGACTTTGACACCTTTAACCCCTCCCCGTCCACCAGGGGGCCTTGACCGAGGCTCTATGAATGAACTCCAGGGTAACCCAAGCCCCTAAAATCATAGGCATAACTCCAAGCCCCTAAAATTACAGGCAAAGTGTATCCATATGTGCCCTCCCCTGGCCCCTGGCTTTTCTGGGTTCTCACATGCCTCCATGGCCCGCGAAAGGGTGATCGGCCCAGCTTCGCATCAGGTCTGCTGGCTGGCACTCCCAGCTGTGCCGCTCAGACCTCCCACCCCTGGCTCTTGGTCCGGGACCCAGACGCAGAGGCGCCTGCCCTCGGTCCCCCGGGCGCTGGCCCTGTCTGTGGCCCTTTCTCGCTCCTTCTCTGTTGCGCGTCTTCCTCTCTTCCTTCCCTCTTTCCAACTGAATTCTCGTTTTTCCTCTCTCCCTAGTGCTTGTACGGCTGCTATGTCCATTCTTCCATCATCCCCACCTTCCACCGGAGGTGCTACTGGCTCCTTCAGGTAGGTGGCCGGGACTCGGTGCTGCTTCCGTCTCCGGTGCTGGGAAGGGTCTGCGGAGGGACCGAGTGGGGGGCTCCTGCGTGCAGCGGCCCTGGCCAGCTTTCCCAGGGACGTCGGTGTGTGTGCCGAGGCCAGCTGTGCGGCTGGCCTGGTGCCGTGTAGGGTGCCGGGAAATGGAGAGGGCCTGGAGGGGGGTAGTCCTCACCTGCCCCCTGGGAGTAAAGCCTCTGCGGGTGTTTCCGGGTGCCTTGGCTTCCTCTGGATGAGGACAGAAGGACGACTGAGCGTCCTGCCCCTGACCGGGGAATGCCCGCCGGCTGCGAGCTGCACCTTCCTTTTATCTTGCGGGTCAGTGGTTGGCATGTGTGGAAAATCGGCTTCTGGGGGCACAGCAGTTGCAGTTGGATTGACTCGGATCGATTGGGAGGTTTGTTGGGAGAGGAGGTGCTCCTGGCTGGGAGTGTGGGGAAGGGGAAGGAGTTCTGTAATCCATTTGTGATGTCTGCCGTGTAGCAGGATGGAGGAAGGTGTCCTTGCTACATAGGGTGGCCTGGCTGCCAGATCGCTGTCCATGGTGCTGGTGCACAGCCTGGCTGAGTCTGGCCTGGGTGCCGGCCTCTTCCAATTGGTGGTCACAGCTGGTCCTCCTACCTGCTGGAAGCGGCTGCTGTGTGTGTGGGGAGGCCGGAGGGATGCCTCCAGTCAGGCTGGGTCTGGGTCCTCAAAGCTTGGCCTCGGATTTGCAGCTGCTATCAGAACCCACCGTGGTTGGGCCTGGCACCATCACCCAAGTTCTTGTTCCAGGAGTTGCTGGCTCTAGTCTTTGCCGCCGTGAGTCCACTGTCTATATCCGCTGTGGTTCAAGTTCACCAACCCCCAGGCCTCAGTGCTCTGGGGGGTCTGCCAGCCCTTGGGGTGTGGCATGTGGTCAGAGAGGACAGCCTCGGAGTGCAGGGGGGGCCCTGGTCCCAGGACAGGTGGCCTGGAAGGTGTCCCAGGCCCAGAGCCGTCTTGGTGTGGACGCCGAGGTTCCCCCGCCTCCAAGCCCTTTCGCCCTCCCCCCAGTTCCCGGAAACAATTGTCTGTGGTGGGACAAGTTCATTAGCGGATGACGCCGAGGCTGTCCAGGGACAGGCTGATCTGCAGACACGGTTTCCCAACAACCTGCCCTCCGCCAGTCTCCCGGGTCTGTCTCCCTTGGCGGTGGCCCGGGAGCACCTGGCTTTCCAACTGCTCGGACCCAAGTTCCTGTGAGAGGGACCTTCAGTGGTTGTGGGATGATAGTTCCCTGTCTGGTTCGCAGGAATGGGCTCCACCATTTAGCACGTGGCTTTCTCCTGTGCCGGGGGTGGGGGGGACTGGGTCAGAGCCTGCCCGGCCTCCAGGCCACGCTCCGGCTGCACACCCCTTCCCGGGCCTCCAGCCCCTGGTGGGTCCTGTGTGGGCTCTTTCCCTTTTCGGTTCTCATGCCCCCATCAGCACCTCCCAGCGCTCCCTTTCTGCCGGCCGCCGCCCTCCCGCCAGCCAGCCTCCCAGGGTGCTCCCCGCCTCCGGGCCCCTCTCCCACCCCCAGACCTCCACCTGCCGCCTCTCATCCCATCACACTCTTGTGATGATTTAATTCCACTACATTTACTTTCCCGGAATCAGACACCACCAGGCAGCCACAGGGTCTCATTACTTCCCAAACTGGATCCCACTCAGCTGGGCGCCTCCAGCCAGGTTCCCCTTAGATTCGGGTGCCCCTGCCCTGTTTGTGGGGCCAGGGGGGAAGTAGGCGGGGTCCTGCCCTCTACCCCCGCCTGCTCCCTGGGGCGAGACTCCCGCCCACCGTGTGCTGGAGACACACCTGGGGCGCGTCTGCCTGTCCGGGTCAGTTACCTTCCGGCTGGTGGGGAGCCTGCGTCTCCCCAGAGGCCAGCGTCCCTGGGTCCAATTTCTTCAGGGCTAATCCGGGCCTGTCTCCTCTCCCACCCCTTCTGCGTCCTCCAGGGTCACTCCCGATTCGGTGAGCAGGGGACAGGAGGGAGTGCTCACAGGCCGGGGCTCCTCTCCCCGCTCATCCTGGGCAGCAGGAGGTTGGGGATCCAAGGCCAAAGCAGTTAGCGTGGCTCACATCCGCGCGGAGCCGAGAGCCCATGCGACAGCCAGCTGCTCGGGGCAATTGGTTCCGTGCTAATTACACCAGGACAAGGACGGCGGGGCCAGGTTTCACGTCTGATAGGAAACAGGAAGGGAGCCGTGAGACACGGGCCCCGATGGAAATTGGCCCAAGTTTGTCTCTGACAGCAATTACCCAGGGCAAGAGTGGGCGGGCGGAGGTGTCAGCACAGTGACGGCGGAGAGCGGAGGAGGCGGCGGCTCAGGTGCCAGCTCGGCTCCGAGGAGGCCGGCCCGGTGCCCGGAACAGCACAGCTGCCGGGAAAGGGGCAGTGGCCTGGCACCCACCTCACGCCCCACTGCCCAGGGCGCGCTGACCGCTGGGGCAGGGGAGCCTTCAGAAAGGAGGGGCTGGGAGGAGGGAGGCAGGGAGGGTTAGTTCTCCAAGGAGCAGCCCCTTCTCTCCCCGCTGCTGTCCCAGCGCAGCAGTGTCTCTGCCGCCTGCAGGCCGGGGACTCACTCCTGCCTCTGAGACCCTCAAACTGGTTCCGCTCCCCCAAGGCCACTGGCCCAGCGAGACGTCTACCCCCCAGGCCAGGACTCCAGCCAGGCTGTGAGCTCCCTGCAGGTCACCTGCCACCCTCTGTCCCCCAGGGGCCCGCACAGCCTCAGCCAGACAGGGAAGGGCCAGGGCCTGCTGCAGACAGCCTGCACCCCCACAGGGAATGGGTGGGCTTGTCAGACCCACACAGAGGTCAGCTAGCCTGCCAGAGCAGAGGGTCACGGAGGTGACAGGAGCTGAGCGGCACTCAGATGCCCGAGTGACCTGGCATTCAGAGAAGAGCCCCCCTCTCTCCTTCTGTCTCTCCCTCTCCCTCCTTCCCTCCCTCCCTCCCTCCCTCCCTTCCTTGCTAATAAATACTTTATCAGGATGTGAGCAGGGCCTCCCGGAGTGAAGGTGCATGAGGTCATCGCTGTGACTGGTGGGCACCCCATGAGGTCATCTGCCCAGGTAGCATCTGGAGACCCCAGGCCACTCTGAGCCCAGATCACCTGAGCTCAGGCCACTCCTCAGCCAGAGCCAGGCCTTTGGCAGATTCGCCTGCGAGCTCGAGATGCCCCCGGGCGGGCGGGCACACCCCTCCACCTGTCCCGTCGTCAGCATCACTGGGGGCCCGTGTGTCACAGCTGGCAGGCCCCGGCTCCCTGGGACTCTCGGCTGCATTGTCTGGGTACATGCTGAGACCCGGAGCGGGCAGGGCAGGGCTGGCCAGGTCACCCAGCTGCGGGAGGTGGCGCCAGGCTGGGAGAGGCCGTCCCCTCCTCACCTCTGCCTCCCGGGCCTGACCGTGGTCATCTCTGCAGCTGTGGGTCCCTGAGCTCTGCTGGGCTGCTCGGGGCTGGGCCGCACAGCAAGGCCTGCATCCCTGCCCTGTGGCCTCTCCTGTTGGGATTTTCCTGTGCCTTGGCTCAGGGCCTCCTGCTCCTCCCTCCGTGCCCTCCCCCCCTGCCTGCTCCCAGGAGGCCTGGCCTCAGGGGGCCTCTCCTCCCAGGGCCTCTGGCTCATGTGGAAGCACTTTCTGCTTCTGATGAGTGTCCTCCTCTTTGCCTTGTTCTCCAACTGCTTAATGGATGTTTTCTGTGCTCCATGAAGTGGTGGGGGGAGGGGGGTCCTGTGTATCTGCCCCCAGCATTCGTGGGCCATGGGGATGCCAGGACCAGCTCACTGGGTGGAGGCGGTGGGGGCTTCTTCCCGGCCCCATGGCTGCACACAGAGGCCTGTGGGCTGCGCACACCCTGTGCACCCCGGGCCCGAGGACGGGGCTCTCGGGTCACTGGAGGGTGGCGGCCGTGCAGGGTCCGAGTTTCAGGGCATTTCTGTTATGGGGAGCTGGGCTTGAGCCCTGACACCCCTGGACATTGGAAGTTGGGACCACACAGCCACTGGGGCACAGGCGTGGGCCCTGAAGGAGAAGCGAGGGGAGGTGCCAGGTGAGGCAGGGCACAGGGAGGCGGGTGGGTGGGGGTAGGAGACGGCGGCATTCCAGGTGGAAGGAGAGCCAGGCAGGGAGACGGCTGAACTGGACGAGGCCGCAGCACAGGGTGCCCACCCCCCGCCCAGCTCATCCGCCCCAAGACTGTCACCTGGGAACGGACAGCGGGGAGTGTGTGGAGGAGCTGAGAAGAATTGTGCAGCCAGAGGGACATTCTCGCGCTGCCTTCCCGTCTCGGCTCTATTCTAGCCAGCAGCTTCCATTTCTTTCTGCATTTAATGCGCCTGAATAATGTGACAAGGTAGACACTGGGAATTTACTGCGCTCTGCAAAGCCGCTCAGTTCCATTAAGATCTCGGGATCTCCGCCAAGGCGCGACGACTTCCCCCTCAGGCATCTTCGCCTGATTGCAATTTACGATGCCCAGGCCTCTGTGGGGCCCCCCTAAGCCTCCAGAAAAACGCGCTGTTCCCCAAAAGTGGCCGTTATTCTCTCTAAGGAAAGTGACTGGGCATCTTCCAGAAGATTCCCTCATCCTGATCCCCCTCCTCTGGGGACCGGGACACAGCCAGGGAGAGGCTGCAGTTGGCTTTTCCAGTGGTCACCGACCCAGAGGGTCCGCTGGGGGCAGGTGGCAGCTGCCTGACCTTCACCTTGCGCTTTGCAGCTGCCTGTGCAGCTGCAGCCCTGGGCGGGGGAGGGAGGGCACTGAGTGTGGGGGAGACAGTGAAGAAGTGGGGAGACTCCCTCTGGCTACCTGCTGGGAGCCCCCGGCCCTGTGGTCCTCCAGGCCCATAGTTTGGATGCAGCCCCACCTTTTATTGCCACGTGACTCGGGCCAGATGAGTTCACCTCTCTGAATCGCACAGGCATCACAGCCCTCTCTACTGCGGTCACTGGGAGGATGGGTTGATCGGAAACCTGTCATGGCCTCAGTGTCATGCTTGGCACACGGAAGCCCCCAGGCAGTGGGGCTGTGGCCATCATTTGCCCCAGGGGCTGGCTGGGTGGGCATCGCTGGGAAAGGGAGCCCCCTGAGGTGGCCCGTCCAGACCACCTCTCAAACGGCGAAATCCGCGGCCTACCCCATGCGGCTGTGTGATAGTCCCATTTGCTAATTTACTCTGCAGCCTCGGGCAGGAACTTGGTCCATGGCCAGTGAAACGGAACCTCCACATTCTAGCCATCGCCCCGGCGCCCCGCTGTGACGGACCGCCACCCGTGCAGCCGTCCTGCAAACCCCCTCGTCCTTCAGCCCTTAGAGGACAGGCTGCCAAGGACAGGCTGGCAGACAGGGGGAGAATGGAGCTGCCAGAGCGGCTGTCCCTTAGAGATGGAAATTATTAATTAGTCTTATTATCCAGAACGTGTCAGTCTCCTAATCCTTCCGTTGGCGGAGGGTTTATGCGGCCACGGGGCATGCTGTCAGCTTGGCTAAGCCATCGCTTTCAATATGAAGGCAGAACAATGGGCGATACCGTTTGGTTACTATCTTTACTCATCAAGCCAAACAGTTCCGGCCCCCCTTCAACAGAGCATCCCTCAAAGACGGGAGAAGGCAAAGCTGCGTGATTCCCCTTCTGACGGCTCCTCATGTGGGCTTTGGTTTAATTACCCTTTTCATGGGATCTTCCGCTGACATTCTGTCCTTAATATCCTGATCCTCTTTGGAGCACAGGGGGAAGTGGGAGTTCCAAAGCCAAAGACAAAAGTTTGCCTCAAGGATACACTTTCTATTTTGCCTCTGAAAGAACTCAAAGGGCCACGAGTGAAATTCAGATGTGATTTGATAGTGTGAGATGGAGAAGCTGCGTGGGTGGGTGTCAGGCGCAGGCTCGGCCCCTGGCGACACCCAGTGTTCGACAGTAGTCATCCTGGGCCTGTCATAGACTCTGGTCCCTGATATGGCATCACCACTGCTTTTACTGCCCTTGACTTCCTAGTGGCCCTCAGGCTGCAGGTATATTCCCAGGCACTCCAGACTCACAGCAAAAGATGGCAGCTAGACAGGTGTGCATAGATGTGCACAGGTGAGCAAGGTGTGTACAGGTGAGCGCAGGTGAGCACAGATGTGCACAGGTGAGCAAGGTGTGCACAGGTGAGCACAGATGTGCACAGATGTGCACAGGTGAGCAGCAAAAGATGGCAGCTAGACAGGTGAGCACAGATGTGCACAGGTGAGCAAGGTGTGCACAGGTGAGCACAGATGTGCACAGGTGAGCACAGGTGAGCAAGGTGTGCACAGGTGAGCACAGATGTGCACAGGGGAGCACAGGCATCGCTCTCTCGGTTCTCCTGCTCCCCTCCCAGTAAAGGGCTCTGGGAGGACCCGAGGAGACTTCTCGCCATCCCACCACCAGTCTCCAAAAATGGACAGGACTTCCTGGGGGCTTTCCCCTCTCCTTTTCCAAACACACCCAGGTCCCCTTGGTGCCCAGGAGTATTAGCAGGGACCCTGCCTCCCTTTCCACCTGGTTCCTGGGAGCAGGGAGCTGGGAGCCAGCTTTTACCTTCCGAGGGCTTCGTGGAGCCCTAAGTGAGAGGTGCACTGAGGCTTCCCGCCCACAGAGCAGCCCTCACAGAAGTCTCTCCTCCTCCCTCCTCCCTCCCCCCTCCCTCCTCCTTTCCCCCTCCCTCCTCCCTCCTCTCCCCTCCTCCTCCCCCCTCTCCCTCCCCTCCTCTCCCAACCCTTCTCCCTCCTCCCTCCTCTCTCCTGAAGAGGGAGAAGGTTCACTCCTCAGAGACACAGCTGAAAGTGGCCTTAGTCTGGGGAGAAGGCATCGAGTCTCCACATGCCAGGAAGGGTAACCCTGGGGACATGAGGCCCGAGAATTCTTCGCGAGGTGAGCTTGGAGGATTGAGGAGGAAATTTAGTGCAGACAGGTTTATTGACCCTGAACTGCAGGAGATTTCTTAATTTAGAGAGGAGTTCTCAGAAAACACTGTCAGTTCCAAGGAAAAGGGCTCCCATGGGGCTCATTCTACCCTCTGGGCTCCTCGCTTCTCTGCTGCTAGAAGGAGGGGCTCAGGGGGCTCCTGTGGGGAGTCCCCAGCCAGGTCCCTGGTGTGGGTGACAGTCGGAGGGCGGTGGCAGCACACGGGTGCTGCGGGGCCCACGCCCTCCCTCGAGTGAGCATCTGCCTGTGGATGTGCCCAGCCCCTTGGGGTTATCCTGGGGCAACTACAGCCATGCGCCCCTGCTGGCCTCCGAGGGGCCCCCTGGCAGCCCGAGTGGGCAGGAGAGGGAGCCATCCCATGGCAGCTACTGGAGCCACTGCACCAGCCAGAGGAGGCCCTGCCCAAGGGGGTCCCAGCTCCCTCACCTCCCAGGAGGCCTCCTCCACCCCGGGAGCCCTGGCACAGGCTCTGCCAGTTGCTTGGCTCGGAAGCAGCTGTGAAGGCCTGGGCTGGGCTGACCCGGGTCAGAATCCTGTTGCTCTAGCCCGCGGAGCCGTCACTCGGGGCTAATGAACCCCGAACCTGGGCTCAGGGTCTCCCCTGTGAAACGGCGCGGTGCTGTCCGAGGGACTCAGTCTGCAGCGCTTTGCGTCAGGGCCCACACGAGCGAGCCCTCCGCCAGCTGTGGCGATTGTCACCGTGACTGTTAGGCTGTTGCAAACCCAGGCCAACCCAGACCCACCAGGACCGCCCACGCCCGCCAGGCCTCCTGAGCCGGGTCTGGGCCCTTCCCTCCCTGACCAGCGCCTCTGCCTCAGCCAAGCCCCTGTGCCTGGCATCCCCCGCCCAAGCCCCTGGCTGAGCTGGGCCCATGCTCACCGTGGGGCGGGCCTGGCTCAGCTGATTACCGCCCCGTCTCCAGAGCTGCCCAGACCTGGCCCAGCTCCTCCTGTGGCCTCCAAGAAGGGAGGACTGAGAACCCTGCCCTGAGACCTCCTGCCTGGCCCTGCCTCCCCCACCCCCTCTCCTGGCCACTGCCCCTCACCCCCCACCTTCCCTGACGTCTCAGACGAAAACCACCGGCCAGTGTGTCCCAGCGCGAGGCAGCTGCTGTCTGTGGGTGTCACCTGAGGCCCCGTCACACTTCTCTCCAGGGTGTGCCCAGCAGTCAGCTCCCATGCCCCGGGGAGAGGGGGCAGGAGCCGTCCCTGCCACCCCCACCCCCCTGACGGGCGTCAGGGTGCTGACAGCCATCGTGATCTCCCTGACACACCAGGCTCTCTGCTTCCTGCGAGCAGCTGCCTTTGGTGGCAGCTGGGGCGTGAGACATGTCTGAGCCAGGCCAGGACTGCGTGGCGCCGCCGCGGCCCAGCCCTATCCTGACATGTTAAGCAGTTCGGGCAGCGCTGGGCCGGCAGCTACAGCAGAGGGGGCCGACCCCCTGGAGGCTTGGGCTCCACATTGGCACTCTGCCTTCACTGGCAGGCTTCTGGGGTGCTGGGAGGCTCTGGGCTGGTGGAGGGGGGCCAAGGGAGCCCCTCCCACTGAGCCAGGTTTAGTCCCCCCACCAGCCAGGCCTCCTGGGTTTGGGAGGTTTCAGCTTCATTGGAGGCTGAGCCCGAAGCGCCTCAGGACCCCCTGGCTCGATCCCCTGTTTGCGTGGAAAGGCTGTTGCCTGGGGAGTTTGGGTGACTAACCTCGGGGTGGATTGCAGGAAGCACTGGGCTGAACCCCGCTTCTCAGGGCCAGGCCTCTTTCCGGGACACCCCTTTCCAGGGAGACTGTGGGTGATCCAGGCACTTTAACACCCTAAGCCAGCACCCCAGGCCATGCCAGCTCACAGCTCAGCCACCTGCCACTGGTGTCTGATGGGAGAAGGCCGGCTCACGTTAGCCAAGTCAGCCCTCATGGTGTCAAAGACCATCCTCCGCCAGAAACAGACGGCGCCTTCTGCTCCAGAAATGGCGGATGATCACCGGCCTGGCCTGGTGCGCGCTCTGGGGAAGAGACACTGCTGCCCTCAGTGTGGCTGACAGAGGTGGCCAGGGCTTCGTGGGTGTTGGGAGTGTGTCCTGTAACGCAGGGGTGCAGGGAAATGTTTAACATCTGGCTCTCCGGGAAGAAACCAACGCCGGGTCCCCTGATGGGCGCGCCTGCCGATTTCCATGGTGTAAATACTCCCACCACAGCCAATTCCAAGATTCAAGTTTGGTGTCCATCAGCTTTGACACTGTTGAGAGGTGAACTAGCAGCTCGCACAAGCCAGCATGAGCCGGCTCCAGGGCTCCACCGCTTTCTCTCGTCTCCGCGTGGCAGACATGGAGGCGAAGCCCATGGCCACGGCCAGGACCTCTTGGGACCTCTCCACTCCTTGCCCAAGACTGAGGCTCAGGCCGTGGGGAATGAAAAGCAGGGGCTCCCACTCAAGTCTCCCCCAGGATGAGTAAGTGGTCACCATGGAGATTTTTGAGGCTGAACAGGGTCTGCTTTGGTCATCCACCCTGGCCTCTAGGGCGGTCACTTATCTATCCTGCTCCTGGGAGCAGCTGATGGGCTCCCCAGCCTCCAGGTGTGATGCTGACTCCGCTGCAGCCCACCCCTCCTGCCCCTCTTGTCCAGCTGGGACGAGTCAGGTGGATGGAGCATCAGGTCCTGGCAGGGCTGCCCATGGGCTCCACTGTGCTGGTCGAAGTCCCACTCTGCATGGGCCCACCACTTCCTCCCTGGAACCCGCTGCCCCATGGAGCGATCAGCAACTGTGGGAGGTGCCTGGCAGCTGTGGGAGGTGCCTGGCGGGCGGGGGCCTGCAGGGCAGCTCCAGAGGCCGCTCCTCCCACAGCTGCCAGCCTCGCCTGCCGGGGCTGCCAGGGCCGGGCCCCCCATGCCCACCGTCTGCTGGAAACACCAGACCTTCTATCTGATCCCAGAAAGCCGGCCGCACCTTCCACCTTCTCGAAGGTCTGTTCTACATCAGGAAGGCTGTCCAGGGCGTTTGTGGATCTGCGGACGGTCTGAGCCACAGAGCGTGCGGGGAGAGTCAGGTTCAGTCTGCACAGACGCCCATCTTCCTCACGCGCTGGCCGTGCGCTGTCAGTTTGAACAAAGAAACCAGGACGTGACGGGGCATTGGCAGAGCGCAGCCAGGAGGTGAGCGCTGAGGACTCCGGGCTCTCATGGAACCATTCCCCATCCTCTCCTCACAGCCGGCCACTCCCCAGGGGTTGCTCAGGGGACCAGAGTCGCTCTGCCGTCCATGTATGTGGCTCCTCCCCAGACCCAGCATCGGTCTGTTCTCACCGTAAACCT